ATATGTCAAAGTCCTTAAAGGAGGTAGGGGAGTGCTTTCTGGAAGGTTTATATTTATAATATGATTCAGCAGTCCAAACAGATTGTCATGTTTTTACAACTCGAATCCTGTTTTTTCAACTGAAAATAATTGTATTGTCTAGTATTAAAAACAACAAAATGAATGCATGCTGTTGTAAAACAAAAGGAACCACCTTCCCAAATAAACAAAAAGGAAAGTAATTGAAGTGAAAAATTTTTTGAATGCCACTTCCTACCTATTTTCCAGACTTCCTAGCCTGGTGCTCCCCACCCCTTCTCCGGGTTCCAATCTGGGACAAAGGCCTACAAAACTGTTAAGGCTTTATTTTCTGGAATGTGAAGGTCAGAGAAGTGTGCGTTTAGGGGTACAGAAGAGGAGGAAGCGATTATTTAAAAGCTCCAGCAGAAAACAGAGAAAGCCAAATACAAACTACAAAATATTATGACCCGTTTGGTCTTGGGGATGGCTAAATTAAAAAATAGAGGTGTGGGTGATGGTGGAGAAAGCAAGAATGAGGAGAAAGATGGCCCCGCCCACAGTTCCTCCCCCACCTTCCTGCCGCACTGTGGGATGAATGGTAATTGGAAATCTGAGCTCACAGTGACGTGGCCCTCAGGAGACCCAGAGCCAATGAGTGGATTAGTCTCTCCTTCTAGTTGCGGTCTGGTAGTCGTCGGTGGCAGTGGGACGGCTCGCTGTTGCTCTGAAGGCAGGCGAACAAGCTGCCCGGGAAAGGAGGAAAGTGGTAGAAGCCGACTCCAGAGGAGCCCTAGCAGGTTGGTGGGCGCTGACCGGTGTGGGGGCGGCAGAAGGCAAAGACCAGAACGGGTCCAGGATTATCGACCGCTTTCCAGATACACAGCAGTTTAGTGTGAGAAATGGATTGGTTGGGGAGGGGATCTCCCAAGGGGCCTGGATTGAGAATGGATACCATTTGAGATCTCCTAGGAGGCCGATGATCAGGCAATGTCTGATGGAGTCCGGCCGCTGGAGGAGACTGCCAGGAAATGGCCTGCTTCCTGCAGGGCCGCTGGAGGAGGGAGGTGCAGCAGGCAACCAAGGGGTGGGGAGCGCGGACTCTACCAAGGTTTTAGGCCTGTGTTCTAGGTATCTTTTCTTCATCCTCTACCCATTTAGAGCTGGAAATGATAGGCTACAGGGGCCTAGTAGAGGAATTGCTGCAGAGGAAGGGGACAGAGATTAGGTCTGGAAAGCAGGTCTCTATTGAGGCAGTTGAGCGGGCGAGCTTCTGACTGAGGGACAGAGGCGAAGAGCGAGAAACTGTTTTTGGTCCCAGCAGGTCAGTCGGTGTAAGCGGGGGCGCTGCTGGTAGATCCTGGAGTGAGAATGACAAAGCGCAGACACCGCAGCAGGTCGTAGTTTGCAATGCCTACATACCTCTTCACTTATCGTCCATCTTGATGTATAAAATGGTGGGCAAAAAAGTGGGGGTCGGCTGGAGACAGGGCCTGACGGATACCTAGATTGAAATTCTTTGTGAATAAACCACGTATCCGTTCAGCAAGCTCTTCTAACTCCCCCGCCAGGCAAGATGTCTGCATTCCAAAAATGGTAATTTGGTGACAGGTAGTAGGAAATAGTAAGGATGGGAGCCTAAAGAAGAGGTTAAAATGTTTTGGAAATAATCATCTTTGATGCCTATTTCTCGAAGGTGGGATAGCCTGTCACAGGTTGGGAAGAGAAGCCGTGAGACAGGATGGAGGAGAAACAGAAGGTGTTAATACTAGGAGAACCCTAATTCAACTCCCAGTACTAGTCCTTTGATCAAATGATCAGTCCTGGTAATTGTCGCATTTGTCTTCAGGTCTTTAGTACGTTTGTGCAGCAGATTTCAAGACTAAGAGAGAAAGACTGCCTCATCCCTGCAGGTAGGTTGCCTGGGGTCCTCTGGGGTAGGGGTATCAAGGATCAGAGCAGAATCTTGGTGACACACAGCCCTTCCTGCCCGAGTTAAGTGCAGGAGAAACTCAGGTGAGTCTTCAAAAACGGCAGGCATGTGTGATGAGGGAAGAAGGGAGTACAGGGGCGCTCCTGGAGAGCTTATTAGAATCCCAGGGTGCTGAATGAAGTCTGGTCTTTCTATGGTTGTCCCCCTCCCCCAACTCGTCCTGCATTTTGGTGGTAGGAGTGGCCTGGGCAAGGGATTTTCAGGGAAAATGGTGGACTTTCGGGCAGCGCTGGGTCTGGGGCGTCCCCTACAGGGCTCACAAAGTTTCTCAGATGGGAAAGCTTTTCTCAAACAGAGCTCTGAATCCTATCAAGCATTCATTCCCTCTTCTTGCTTTTGATCTTCTAGGAAGGAAAAAAACAGGAAGAAAAAAAAAAAACTCAACATGGAAAATGTCCCCAAGGAAAACAAAGTTGTGGAGAAGGCCCCAGTGCAGAATGAAGCTCCCACTTTAGGAGGTGGTGAAGACCAGGAGCCTGAAGGAAATATTAGAGGGGTTCAGGCTCCACGTGCCCAGGATTTTGGAGAGGATGCGCCCAATAGGCTTGTTGATAACATTGATATGATAGATGGAGATGCAGATGATATGGAACGGTTCATGGAGGAGATGAGAGAGCTAAGGAGGAAAATTAGGGAACTTCAGTTGAGGTACAGTCTGCGCATTCTTATAGGGGACCCCCCTCAGCATGATCATCATGATGAGTTTTGCCTTATGCCTTGAATCTTGAGATTAATAATCATAAAATCCCTGCTTTCCAAATTCGCATTTTTCCTGGTGTACCTTTAATGTGAACCTTTTGGCATTCTTCTGCCATTTTCTGATTAGAGATTGCTTTTAGACCTAGTCTGTAAGTTTTTCTGTCAGAAGAGGATTTTCATCAACTTTCATGGAAAGATGTTTATTGCACACTGTAAAGTTAATAAAGCAATTTAAAAGTAGTCTATAGATATGTGATTTCATTTAAAAGCATATGTATGCACACTATATATAAAATACATAATTTATGTGAAATATTATACATATGAAAACCAGAATGTGCTTTTTCTATGTCGTATAGTTACTGGTACTTTTAAATTTCTTAATTTTTTTTATTGGTTAACTGTTTTTTTTTCTCACTTTTTCAAAATGAATACATATGTTTTGTACGTATCAGGAAAAAAAAAAAAAAAGAAGCAACAAACTTGCCAATCAGCTTATACAGGGAATGGGGACAATTAATAAACACTTGAAACACGATTTAAAGACATATAAATCTCATATTACCTGTGGATCTCTCATTTAGAAACACATATCTGATAATTACAGATACATTCCATTATAAATGTCTTAGAGAGCTGCTGTGGGAATCAAATGAGGTAATGACTGAGCCCTGTGTCTTGCTCTATTTATACATGCAAGGCTCCAGCCCTCCAGGTGCCCTTCATTTTTAGGGAAGATTCCAAAGAGTGTACCAATCAGGAGTCCAACTGATTTATAGGTGAGTACAGGTTCAAAATCTGAAATGCTTGGGACTAGAAGTATTTCAGATTTCTGGTTTTTTTTTTCCAGTTTTTGAAATATTTGCATGTACTTAGAGGTATCTTGAGGATGAAACCCAACTCAAACATGAAATTTATTTAATTTTATATATACCTCAAACACATAGCCTGAAGGTAATTTTATACAATATTTTAAATAATTTTGTGTGTGAAACAAACTTTGCATATATGAAGTCAGGTGTGGAATTTTTCCACTTGTAGCATCATATCATGTTCAAAAAGACTTGGATTTTGGAGCACTTCAGATTTTGGATTTTTGGATTAGCAATGCTCAACTGTAAATGCTTTTCTATTCATCTGCTACTCCGGCTTTCTTTTCTGCACAATGCCATGACAATTAGGCACATCTTTCTCTTCTGCTGGGTCTTGCTCCCTCCACTGGCTTCTACCACTGCGGACATACTGGACTCCTGAAGATGACAAAGACTCACCAATTTTGGGTCTTTGTGGACCCCTCAGTGGTTCCACTAGACCCTTCAGTGGTTCGAATCCCCATTTTGCCTTTTCAAAAATGTATGGAATGTTCCTCCCTGCCTTAGAGTTATACTTAAACCAGATGGATACTTCACCAACACTGCATATAGATGCAAACAACCCTTTATGGTTTTCTCATACTTCCTTCTTCATCCCCTTCCCCCTGACAAATTTGAGTGGCACTCATGATAGTGTGCTCAGAATTGTATTATCTCTTCCATCCTCTGAGAAATATAGCCCAGTCTCCTTGACTATCCATTTTCTGTGCAGACATTGCTACAGGTTTCATTCTGCACATACACAGGAGTTGTAGGGATAATTTTATGTTCTCAAGACTGTTTTGGCCCACAGCACCCTGATCTTAGGAGTTCCCAGTAGTCTACACTAACTTACATAGATCCAGATAAGTTTCCCTCTTCCTTTGCTTTGAGATTTGCTGTGTCAAATAAACCTGTAACTAAAGATTGATGGGAAATAATGGCAGGAACTGGGGATCTGGTAGGTGAATCCCAGTTTTAAGGCATCGTTATAATCATCACTGTTCCCCAGTAGTCTATGCCCTTCTCACAGTACATATTTTGTCTCATTTATCCTGGCACCCTTAGTGTTTAGTACAGGGCCTGATAAGTTGTAGGACACAACAGTTAATTATAGCTGAGTTGAATCCTGCAATCTGTACCCAGGGTTGCTTCTGATCATTTATGGGCAAGCACTTATTTTCCCTACAGACTGTAGCTTGCAATTAAAAAGGAACACAGCAGAAGAAGCATTATGCACCAATTTTTTAAAATGCACTTATCATAACATTATATATGTCAGTGTTCATCAGCATGTGCTATATAGACCAGTTACATCAAAATTGCCTGAAGAACTGCCTAAAAATTTAGAAAAAATGTGTTTCACTCCATACCCACTGTACCCTAGTTAATCAGATATCTCTGGACTTACATAAATTAAAGCGGAGGTCCCAGCTTTAATCTTAGACACCCCTCTCCCCATCCTATATTATATAGAATTGGGTGGTGTGCTGATTGGTAGACAGATCTGAGACCTGTGAAAACACTACACAAAACTTAATTTATACATCAGGCATTATTTCACTATTAGACAGTGCCCTTCTTAAAGAGACAACAACTTTTTATTTTTTAATGCTGTTGTCTTTAGTACATAAATTCTCAATCTTCGCTTCAGATTTGAAATACCTGAGGATACTTTAAAGTGGAGCTCAGGATCCAATTCCAACCAGTTGAATCAGACTCATTAAAAGTGGGACCAACAGATCTTTACAGTGTGAAAGATCATGTGGTGATTCTGTTGTAGAGTTGAGATCTGAGTGAAATTTGTGGCTAAAATATCTTTGATTTGTTTTCTATGTACTATCCCTGATTGACTGTGTTACCCTAACGAGGTTAATTGATTTATATAGAATTTATATCTTGTAAAAGAAATACCATAAGAAGGAATTATACTCCCAAATCACCACGACATCCTTTTAAGAAAACATTTGCCAGTGTTTGTCCATCTTTGCTATCCTATCAAACACTTCAGAATTCCACTTGGAGCTTGTTTAAAATACGTAATTCTGGCCGCTATCCAAAATCCACCTTTTGGCAATGGTGCTCAGGTAATTACATTGTTAGCAATCTTTCAGGTGATTCTGATGCACATTAGAGTTTAAGGATCACTTGTGCATACATTTTTACCTAGATTATATTAAAAACAAACCAATAAAATAAAATATAAATGCTCACCCAAATTCAGGGAAAGGAACAACACAGAGAAGATGTATATGGGCACCAAAAGTAACTTAAAAACTAAAATAAAAATTTTAAAACATTAAATCATAAAGGGAAAGATTAACATTCACTATGCGAAAAAATATTAAATCTTCTGCAAAGTAAAGCAAGACTGTAAATAAAGTTCAAGGAACTTCAAGGAATTTCAGTTAGAAAGGAATATGTTCACTAAATCAATTATACCAAGGTCACTATAGTTAATCACATAATATTGTCTGCTTGAAAATTGCTAGGAGAGTAGACATTAAGTGTTCTGACCACAAAAATTGATTAGTATATGAGTTAATGCATGTATTACATTGCTTGATTCAGTCCTTCCACAATGTATAAAGATATCAAAACATCACTTTCACTTTGTGTACCATAAATATGTACAATATTTCTTCTCAACTAAAAATATAAATTAAAATAGAAGATGAGACATGAAGAGCGAAGGCAGCCATCAGCAAGTCAAAAAGAAATCCCTCAGGAGAAACCAAGCCTGCTGATACCATGATCTTGAACTTCCAGCCTCCAGAACTGTGAAAAATAAATTTCTACTATTTAAACTACCCAGCATGTGGCATTTTGTTATGGGAGTCCTAGTAGATTGATAAAAGATATGACACATGTTGATAATTATTATGGACTAGGGGAGACAGTAATAATCAAAAACTGCTTTGTGAGTGAGGAGTTTTACTCTGGGTGATGAAAATGGTTTGGAACTAGATAGAGGTGATGGTTGCAAAAGATTGTGAAGATACTAAATGTTATTGTATTGCTCACTTTAAAATACTTAAGTTTTTGGATATTTTTCACTGTAGGAAAATATATATAATATAAAGTTTATATTTTAGCCATTTGTAAATGTACAATTTATTGATATTAAGTGCATTCATTCTGTTTTAGAATCACCACCAGTATTCATCCCCAGAAATTTTTTGTCATTACAAACTGAAAGTCTATAGCCATTAAACAATAACTTCCTATTTCCCATTTTCCTCTCCCTATATCCCCTGGTAACCACTGTTCTATTTTGTATCTATATGAATTTGACTTTTCTAGGTATCTCATATAAGTGGAATCATACAGTATGTGCCCTTTGGTGTCTGGCTTCTTTCACTGAGTATAATGTTTTGAAGGTTCACTAATTTTTTTTAGCATGTAGCAGATTTTTATTCCTTTCTAAAGCTGACTAATATTCTTTTGTATGTATATATAACATATTGTTTACCCCTTCATCTCTTGACGTATTTGAGTTGCTTCCACCTTTTAGCTACTGTTAATAATGCTGCTAGGAACATAGATGTGTAAATATCTGTTCCAGAGCCTGCTTTCAATTATTTTGGGCCTATATCCAGATGTAAAATATGGTGATTTTATGTTAATTTTTTTAAGAAAGGACGTAATGTTTTCCATAGTGGTTGTATTATTTTACATTCCTACCAGCAGTGTGCAAGGGTTCTAATTTCTCCACACTCTCCTTGCTTTAGTCCATTTTGTGTTGCTAAACGAGAATACCTGAGGATGTGTAACTTGTAAAGAAAAGAGGTTTATATAGCTCATGGTTCTGTGGGCTGGGAAATACAAGAAGCATGGCACCCACATCTGCTCTTCCTCTATTGCAGGCCATGTACTAGGTCAAAATATTGCAGGAAAGTTCAAAGGGAAAGCTGAGATATGCAAAGAGATAAACCACAAAGGGCGTACTGGCTTTACAACAACCCGCTTTCTAGGGAACTAACCTGTTCCAGTGATAACTAATCCAGTCTCATCAGAGTGTGAACTCACTACCTCCAGAGTAGCACCAAGCCATTCATGAGAGTTCCAACCCGGTTATCCAGATATCTACCACTAGGCCTCATGTCCCAACACCACCACAATGGGGATGAAATATCACCATATATTTTGGTGGGAACAAACTTAGACCACAGCACTCACCAATACTTATTGGTTTTTTTTGTTTTGTTTTGTTTTTTAATAACAGTGATCCTAATGGGAATGAAGTAGTATCTCACTGTGCTCTTGATTTACATTTCCTTATTGATTAGTGATGTTGGGTATCTTTTCATGTGCTCATTGTCCATTTGTATACCTGTGGAGAAATGTGGATTCAATTTCTTTGCCCATTTTTAAATTAGGTTGTATGTGTATTTTTTGTTGTTGTTATCACTGACTTATGAAAGTCTTAAAATACATTCTGGATTTTAATCCCTCATCAGATATAAATCTGCAAATATTTTCTTTTGTCCTGTAAGTTGCCTTTTCATTCTCTTGACACTGTCCTGTGATGCACAAAAGTATTAAATACTGATCAATTTCTATTGTTTTGTTGCCTATACTTTGTATGTCATATTGAAGAAGCAACAGCCAAGGCCAGTGTCATTAAGCTTTCTCCTATGTTTCTTCCAGTGTTTTCATACTTTTAGATTTTACATTAAGGCCTTTCATTCACTTTTAGTTAATTTTTTATAAATGATGTGAGATAATAGTACAACTTCATTCTTTTGTATGAGAATATCCAATACCATTTGTGGAAAAGAGTACCTTTTCCCCATTGAATAGAAAGTAGCTGGAATGAAAAATTTGTTAGAGCAGTTCAATAATGGGTTTGAAGTGAATGAAAAAAGATTAGTGAACTTGAGGATAGGTAAATGAAGAGTATAAGGAACAAAAAACAAACAAAAATATAGAGACATAGAGAACCATGGTACACCATCAAGCATACCAGAATAGCTACAAAGGGAATTCCATAAAGAGATGTAAAAGAAAAGTTGCAGGAAAATATATTTGAAGAAATAATGACAAAATATTTTTTGAACTTGATGAAAAACACTAATCTACAGCTGACTTCTTATCAGAAATCGTGGAGGCAAGAAGACAGTAAGATGACATCTTCAGAAAGTTGAAGGAAAAAGACTGTTAACTAATGCTTTTTAGTCAGGAAACGCTCCTTAATACTTTAAGGATAAATTAAGACACTCCCAAATAACAAACAGCAAGCAATTTTTAACTAGCAGCACTATCCTACAAGAAATACCAATGTGTCCTTCATGCTGAAATTAGAAAACACTAGATGGTAACATGAATCCACATGAAGAAATAAAGAACACTGGTAAGGTAACTAAATAAGTAAATATAAAAGGCAGTGTGAAGATGCTGAAGAGGTCCAAACAGAAACAGCTCTGGAGCACAGTTCCCAGTGAGAGTGACACAGAAGGTGAGTGATCTCTGCATCTCCAACTGAGGTACCAGTTTCATCTCAATGGGACTAGTTGGACAGTGGGTGTAGCCCAACGAGGGCAAACTGAGGCAGGGTGGGGTGTTGTCTCACCCAGGAAGTGCAAGGGATGGGAGAACTCCCTCTCCTACCCAAGGAAGGCTATCAGGTTCTTTTCTGAACACTCTGGCACTCTGGTTCAGATACTGTGTTTTTCCCACAGTCTTTACAGCCCAGAGACCAGGATATTCCTGCTGGTGCTGACAACACCAGAGCTGTGTGTTTGCAGCACAAAACTGGGTGGCCGTTTTAGCCAGCATCTGAATGCCTGCAAGACAGAACCACCCATTCCCCTGAAGAAGATGGTGCTGAAGACAGGGAGCCAAGTGATCTGGCTCTGCAGGTCCCACCCCTACAAAGACCAGCAAACTGAGACACAATGGTTTATGATTTTCACAGCCAGCACACAAGTTTGAGCTCAACCTGGGACAGTTGAACTCAGTGGGTGGAGGGGTGTCCATCATTACTGAGGCAGTTCTAACCTTGCTTGTATAAACAAAATTGCAAGGAAGTTTACACAGCAGCTGGGCAGAAACTGCAGCAGCTCAGCAAGGCCTCTGAAGGCAGACTGTGACTAGACTCCCTCCTTGCTGGGCAGGGCATCTCTGAAAGAAGGCAGCAGCACATCAGGGACTTAAAAATAAAGCCCCACCTTCCTGGGTCAGAGCACCTGGGAAAAGGGGCAGTTGTGAGTTCCACTTCAGCAGACTTAAACGTCCCTGCTCAGC